GATTGAAGGCCAATACGGCTGCTATATTTGGAAGTTGTGCTCACGAGCGCCAAATACAAAACAACCGAAAATTTTACTTTTATTAGCCTTGGTCGTCACATAGTCAATGGAATGACAGGAATTGAATGACATTATTATGACGTCATGGATGCCCGGGAGACGGTAAAATAGTCTGCACAAAAAGTCTGCACATCTTCGCGGACGTCTAGTTTAGAAATTACCGGGGTTTAGATCCTAAGAAGGGCAGGGCTGTGAAATGCACCGAATTGTCTGCCATATGGCTGTTTCAGTTCAAAGCACAATGCAATTGGGGAACATGCCTTTCAAGAGTGTTTTGGGAGGAACCAATGGCTCCCGTGCGTGGTACGTGCACGGTTCTGCGTACGCAGCTCTTACTGACACCAGTATAACGTAGGACCACCCAGAAGAAGCAGTTACATAAGACCAATCCTTTCCCGGCTTGCGGGAAATGGTGGAGTTACGGTGAAAGTTGCATGCTAAGGGGACTTGACAGCTTAATGCATACGTGTACGGAACCGGGACGGAAAAGTAATGCTTTGCACGGTACGGTTTCCGTGATTTATGGAACACGAAGGCAAGCACACGCCAATGTCAGGAAATGACACATCGCCAAATATAGCAGGCTGTGAATGGCGTTATAAGATGATGTCCACCACTGTTTCAAAAGTCGTTAGCAGCGTGCGGAAATATGGGCGGAGCAATCAGTTTATTGCTTATCTTCGGAGGACCGGAGGAAAATAGGAAATCAAGGTGGGCTCCTTGGAGTGCGGAGGGGCCCCGGTCGGAACCTCCTCCACTCTGGATTTACCTGTGTCAAGGCACCTATTTACAAAGTAATGACATTAACCTCAACTTGAGAGATTTTATATATTCATATTTGGTTCCACTCCGTGGGGCTTTCTATATATGTTCCCATGCATTATGGTTTGCAAAACACCTGACGACAGCGTCGGCAAGGACAAAAGTCATATCGCCGGAAGGCCGAACTCAGTAATTAAATACCGCTGTAAATGTCCTTCTCTGTTGCTATTATTTTGTTCCTTAGGATCAAACTCGTAGGCGTAAAATGACATGTAAAATGGTCAATGACGTAGAAAAAAATGGCGCAAAGTACATGATGACGAAATAAAATTGGTTTGAATAAAAGTGGTGAAAAGTGGTTTAAAAGTAGTTTACCGACTATTTTGATACACCTAGTGACAAACAATGTGTTAATATCGCTTTTGGCGGCCCTATTATCCATGTTCTCATGTCTTGCACAATTGGAACTGAAATTAGTTACCTGATAATTCTAGCGTGCAAAGATGTAATGTTTGCCTCCTCCGTTGCAGTGCTTCCCCAGCCCCATGTCTGCAAAAGTAAAATGTTGACATACGTCCGGGGCGAGTGTCAATTCGGTCCCCCTGAAATGAAACTAATACCGAAGACTTTTGATGATTTTCACGGTCACGCGTCCGCCCGCCCCGTGTTTGAATGCACCGATAGCTCAGCTGCTTCGAACGGCTGTCTTCCACTCCAGCCGACCGTAGCGGGATGGATCGTGCCGTTTTAAGCCACCGGTAGTTACCCCTGACGGTTATGATGATCCGCTCCCGGCAGTGGGAGCGGCGCTAAATGTCAGGTGACCTTAGAGGGCACGACGGACCGTGCCAACCGTAATGGCAAGTTAAACTTTTGTCACGAAATTCTGTCGTAGACCTGGAATTGCACGATTGGATGGTAGGTGTCGAGGCTGATCCCATAAATCCATCCGTTTAAAAGGTTCGGATTCAAGCTTTAACAGGGTCAAGTAAGGTCGCTAGCCCCATATGAGACCGGAGGCATGTTTCTTCCGAGAGTTATCGAGGTTAAAGGTGACTTTACGAAAATATATGAGACCACCTTAAACATCGGCTTTGAGTTTGACATTGTTTGACCTAGTTTTACCCGAAGTTCATGATAAAGAGACCTCACAATTGGACACAAAAACGTTTACCTGATGTCCGACCTACTCTGTGATTTTGATGCTTCTAGCTCTCTTAATTTTCGAAAACTCACGGGCTCAAATTGACCCCCACAAGGCCGTCACATTTAACCTACCACCCGGACGAGTGTGAATATCACTTGGTAAGCAAAGTGAGTAGCTCAAAGATGGTCCTTGCAAATCGCGCTGTCTACAAGTCCAGACAGCGTGATTGACCGACTTTCGACTGATTGATTGGCTGGCTGTCTGTCGCCCGTTGACGAGAGCATATAGATCGTTGGTAGTTACTTACACCGGCACTCGATACGCCGGATGCACGTCTGGTATGACTGATTTCACCACTCCGGAAGTCAGGTCCATCTCGATGCATAGTCATTGTTGGTGGGCAGCTTGACGTCGCTGAGGGCCGATTAAAGCGCCAAAAAATCATCACAATTACACGGCACAGCCACACAGGTGTTTGTTATTATCGTAACAACGGCAGAAAAAAATGTTCGACAGATTTGCTCCACCAAAGAGCATGACCGCGGCTAACTTAGCTAGATCTGATCGAGTAGATGGCAGATGGTCAGCCGGTTTGCAAGCAAATCCATCTCTCGGCAACAAAAGGCAACAGGTGACGATGGTCACGCTGAACATATTTTGATGGAATCCTTTAATCACCCGCCTCAGCGAGTGTTAAACATTTCTGCATTTTAACAAACAGCATGAGCTGCTGCGAACGTCCTGGTGGAGAGAAACCATGGTGTTCGATGATAAATGCATTTCGACCTGAAAATTTTCCTCAACGAAGTTATCTCTGATACTTTAAAAGGTTCAATACAAATGTTTTCTATGGCACTCCATGCATCCTTACATCAACGAGAACGTAGCGTAAGTCGCACGTTGCTGCCCTATTTACAGGGAAAAACGTCTAGAGCCAGCATTGCGATTCCTGACCTTGTGCTTTAAGTACCTCTTTTTACAAATGCAAATGCCATCTTGTTTGCACTTTTCACTTCCTGTGGATCTGCACGTCTGTTTTGATCAGCAATGCCAGTTTTCTCAAAATCCTTTGAGTAGCACAAAATTTCATTTGAAAGCCGCTCCTGCGGGAGAAATCTCATTGGACTCCCTACTCACGACTATGAAAGCAATATATTGCACTTGCCTTGCTTTTTCCGAGTGTTTGATCTGTGATGTTTGCAACACGCCAATTTGTCAGAATGTTTGTGCAATAAATGCCACGAAATGTTCAAACACTTGTTAGAATAAAAATATATGCGAACACATCCCGCGAATTCAACTAAACCTTATAATGTGGCTTTGATTTCTCCCCTATGGCGTTTATCACAGTGCTCTTCTCGAGGCGCACTTTGGACTTGGGAAACGGAGTACCATATAATCCAAAGTGACAATGGTTTAAAAAGTAACTAATGCGCTTCTCGGGAACGGGTCCTTGCCACCCATTATGCCAATCACAATAGCTCTTTTATTCGCACCAGTGGGTGTGCCACGGCGGTTATCTTGACGACGACGATCGCGACAACTGCAGGGAAGAAGCGTAGTGCTGTTTCAAAGCGTTGACAGCGTAAGTTGTGCTCGAAAATAGTTAGAATTGATATGCCCTTGTTGTGTCTTGACCGTACTACAGTGGCACTATCCAGTGATTTTATTCGACGAAACTGGTCCTAACGTTTCACTATAGTATGTATTTGAAGTATGCCCCAAAGGTGGGGTGCCTCCCTGAGCATGGCCACATGAACCGAGGGTAGATCAGGCAGAGCGATGTCTACCAGCGTCATATTACGCAAGATGTTAAGGACGAACGTACAAAATACATTGCGGCAAATGTCCAATAAAAGCACAGATCGAAACACCAGGATATCATGGGGCTATGCCTCACTGCGGGGAAATTCAATACCAGGTACCGTTTGCGCGAGTCTACCTCACTTTCATATCGAGCGTCAGGTAGCAGCACTACACTGCTCATTTCGGTTGTGATAGGTGGCAGCACTATACAGACGCCCAATTCTCGTGCGTGACAGGTGGCGCCGCCATACAGTCGGGGTTCTAACGGCAAATGCATCGACTTACTTTATCCTCGTGTCGGCTGAAGAAGCGCAGTGTCAAAGGGCCCCACCCATGGGATGCATTTTAAGTATATGGATAATCACTCGGCAACCCAAATAAGTCGCCTTGGAGCCTCATCGTAGGGGCATGTGCATGTGTTCAGTTTCTGATGTTCCTCTGTTCAACACAAAACCCAACACATAATGGAGCATTTATTTTTCAGGCACGTAATGCAACTTTTGAAGTTCCACAGGTCTAGACCATGACATTAGGCATGCATTACCGTAATTCGACAATCTGGTAACTTCAACTCCAAAACATACGTAACCACGAAACCACGTGACATATGCGCACAACACAAAGGCCCGTCACGCAGTTTGACCTCTACCCGCCTGAATCGTACACCGATAGGGCAACGCAGGCTGTAGGCGCTACTATCCTGCATCCAAATCGAGGGATGGACGGGCAGCGGGGCTACCGACCCGAACTCCGCGTTCACCCGATGGTTCAGCAGCACATGGTTAGCTGGGATCACCCCCCGACCCCACAGCGGCGGCGGGCCAACCAAGAGGCATGTGGCGGCCGCGGGGCCAGGGACGCCGACGATTCGGACCAGCCTACACTGCGGCCGCCGCGCGTCCGCTTCAGTCGGAGGTGTGGCGCCAGCGGGGCTGGCCGCGGCGTGCGGTCTGGGCCGGGCCACCGGCGCCGTCGCTTGGAGCGGGGCCGGCCGCGGCGCGTGGTTTGGGCCGGACCACCGCCGCCGTCGCTTGGAGCGGGGCTGGCCGCGGCGTGCGGTCTGGGCCGGACCACCGCCGCCGTCGCTTGGAGCGGGGCTGGCCGCGGCGCGCGGTTCGGACCGGACCACCGCCGCCGTCGCTTGGAGCGGGGCTGGCCGCGGCGTGCGGTCTGGGCCGGAGCACCGCCGTCGTCGCTTGGAGCGGGCTGACTGACGGTCTGCGGCAGCTGGACGCCCGCTGGGCCGGCTCCCAGCGGCGGAGAGCCGCCCTCAGCTGGGAGCAGGGCACCCTGCGGACGCAGAGCCGCCCTGCCCCTGCGACCACCACCAGCAGCACACTGCTGGAGCCCGCTCACCCGCCGGCGTGCGTCCCCGTGGCAAAGATCAGGACAGCGGGCGGTCAGGACGGCGCAGGTCTCCTTTCGATCTCTCGTCTGTTGAAGTGCCCTCTGCCCCCGACGACCGCGGCCCAATACGCGAGCCCGGGCTGGGCGCGGAGGTCAGATAGGTGACCGGCGCGTACAGGGCAGACGGGACGCGTCCGGGTCGGGCGGGCCGGACGGCGAGGTGACCGGACGTGACACGCCCATCGGAGCCGCCCGTGGGCTGGCTCGCTCCGCCCATATCTGGTTCGTCCCTGTAAACATAAGTGATCAGGATCACTGACAGCAACGTCAGCACCCGGCGCGCTGTTGAGCCACCTCCGTCGCCAGCTGCTCTCGCGGTGCTATGCCTTCCTCACTGGGCTTCTCCGCCGGCAGCGTCTCATAGTCTCATAAAAACGAGGAGCTTTTTTGAATCCATGAAGACGACTGCCGCGCGGGATATCAAGTGACAAACTGGCGAGACCGGCAGGGTCTTACCTGCATTCGGAACTGAGCGACGCGTCTCCGTTGCCATCAGAGCCTGCTGCCGATTCTACGAAGAGTCGAGTTTCTGCTGCTTGTAGAGCTGACCTTCGCAGATCTGTAAGGCCTCCCATTCCCTCCTTAGCTGCGTTCAAAGCGGAGCCCTGCGGTGCATGGTTTGCTGAGGAAGTCACAAACAGAAAGTCCTTTCACAGCGTGGCGTTCACGTCCCGTGCACCCTCCATGCATCCCCCCCCCCCCAACAGAGCATGGACACACGCACTGTGACCAGCTGAACAAAACACCTCAACTGTATACAGGGCAGCAGCCAGCCCCTACATTAACAAATACTCGGAGCTGAAGAGTTCTTGGCGCCTGCCTGATGACCCAGATTCGCATTGTGGGGAATATTTTAGATGTCACTTCGAAGATCTCTGAGGTGTGACGCGTTTTTGTGTGTACTAAGGTTCTAGAACGATACTTTGAATTCATTTGGCATGCAATTTTATTCAAGCCCGAAAAAGCCATGTGCCTGAAAATTATTCCATGTTCATGTAAAAAACCATCACTGATGAATTTTTCACATTTTCGCAAAAGAAAGCCTGCAAGACCGTTTGTCAGCGAACTTGTAGATAAGCGACCGAATGATCGACATGAAACCCATTGGAATGGATAGATTCAAGATTCACTTCTGTTCTAATCTGTCTTTTGCATCCTGTCTGGTATGGAGCCAGGGTTGTCAATTTCTGTTCCTTTGTGAGGGCCCCGTGCCCTGATGTCGACTTGCTCCCACCCCAACCACCACATGAGGACCGCTGCTGCTCAAACAAAAACTGAGTTCACAAACCATTCCAATCCTTGAGCATCACGAATGGTGTGGCCCTTTTAGGAAAGTATATGGCGTGGCAACGACCTAGAAATATTTACTCTCACCATCGTCCTTCCGACCTTCTATTTTCACGACTGTACTCGGGGTGACGACAAGACCAGCGAGAGGGTGACTTGGAAAGAAAGCAAGCAAAAGCACAGGAAGCAAGCCTCGCACCGACAACTCAGCAAGCAAACGTGTAGACAAACGACGAACAGCTCAGCAAGCAAATGAGCAAACGACCACCGTACTGACGGAGGGGCTGCAGCGGCGCCGGAACCGTGCCACGCTGCGCCGCTCCTGCAGCGGACGCCGACACGTCTGTGAGGGCCGACGCTCAGCTGGCCGCGCCCGGTGTACACGAGTCGCCAGGGACGGACTAGCGGCGGGGGCCACACGGTGAACGGAGAAGACCCCGGCGGGTGCTCCGCCTCCGCGCCAACATCATCCGACCACCGAGCACCCAGAACGTCCCAATGCAGCTCGTGACTGGCCGCACGTTTTTGCGCTTTCGTGATGGTGACGGTGGTGTTAAAAGAAGACTGCGTCGCATCTTATCGCTTACAACAGTGCACGTGTGGTGATATAAGGAGCGTAATTCTGGAGTTCAAGCAAGGAGCTGTTCATGAAGCTGTATGACCATGACTGAACGAGTGCGCCTGCAATATGGGAGGTGTTTTGGGCACCACAGGCTCGTACTGTTGTTACAGAGCAGTTCGGCAGCGGTGTAGCTACCAAACCTGAACTAATGTACACACTGCCGAAGCATACGATGAAGCAAACACTCAGTGCCTAACCTTGAATCGCTCACAGCCATCTCACACATGCGTGCACGTACATCATGAATGCTTCTTCTCCTCATGCACTCGTAGACTTAATGAGATTTAATAGACATGAGATAAATAGAACTGAGCTGTGCAGCCAACGGTGACCAGATACCACTCGCCATTCGACAGGCCAGAAAAACGATAGAATATTTTTGAGAAAATAAAGTTATTCATACAATAACCACAGCTAATATACACCTTCCATAGTAGTTGCCGGCACGTCGGGTCCGTTTGATTTCGTTAATGCGTGACCCTTGACTCTTATTATTACAATGGTACTCAGTTTCCTCATATCGAATCAAAGCGCAATAATGTCTTCTTAAAGACCAACCGGATTTTCGACCACCACAACGCCTTCGCTTCAGAGGAACGGTCAAGCAAGCAGGAAACGTGATAGACAGTGAGGGGCAAATTGCGACTCCGAAGGCGCGATCGCTGCTGGAATGTAACCATTCCCGAGTCGTGGATGGCCTGTTTTCTGCCTATGGAACTAACTTCATGTAGCTGGGACGCCGGCTGGCGCGAGTGGTGAGGAGCGTTCAGTTTGGAAGGAGCGGCAAAGAAACAAAGTAAGCAACCACACAATCGGCGCGAAATACGCAAGCACATGAAAAGGCAAAACACATGTAAACGCCGCCATCGTGACCTTTGCGGCGCACATGTGTACGGATGCTTGACGACGAATTATTCAAACATGCCGTTATCACCATACCACAGTTCGGTGGCGCAATAGCCTTGCGGCCTTTGTAATGGCCTGATGGCCTTGGCTACCGAGAGGGGGCCAGGTTCAAACCCAGGTGGTGTCATAGCCCCTGAGTGCTAATATGCCCTCTGCACTCGCTGGAGCTTCATAAAAAAGTGCCGGTCGTCCATCCTACCTATTAACGTCCCTCCACTTAAAGCCCGGCTCCGGAACGATTACAGTCCACCGCAGCGCAATAATATCTACACAAATATCTCTACGCAAAAGTTTTCACAACGAGATAACATTTGGTAGCCTCTGGGCTCATCCGTCCTTTTTAAGGCGGAGGGCAGAGTTGGGCGCGGTGTCACTCCTTTCCAGATTTGTTCCTGCCTGTTCAGACCATCCCAGCGCTGCGTCGGTGCTACGCCACCGCCGCCTGCGCCGCCGGCCTGCCGCGCTTCACCTCGCCTCTCTAGGAGTATCTTCTCTCCTGTCATGTGCCAGACTTTTTCGCCATCTTCGAGACTATCTACTTTTCATGTCCTCTCGCCGGGGGAATTCCTAACGGTGTCAACGACCGGCACTTCGACTCAACGATCGTGCTATTGGAATGCACCTTCGGGCCGGAGATCTTCCCTTTCCAACTCTGTGCCGTAAATAAAATCCACACCCTGGTGGTTCGGCACTAAACGTCGATAACTGTCGTTTGTACCGCATTGTCACGCCGCTTGAACTCAACACAATTGCTTTTAGCGTAAAACTTATGCATCTGGACCTGACGCTTCAATCTCCTTACTTCCCCCCTCAAAGGTCGCGCTCGACTAACTTCCTACTCTTTTCAACCAGATATCAACTCCCTGTATGATTTTCAGTGACGGCCGAGAAATGTTTAATTTCGTCATGTGAGAAGCGAACCGCAAGATGGCGGAAAAAATACCGGTATGGACAAGTTTTATGGCACGCGTGCGGGGGAGCGGGCTCTCTGGCTTTCTGGCGGGCTCTCGTACAAGATTATCCCATTTTTAGTGGGATAAAAAACGAATGAAAAGAAATTGATCGCAAACCTCACGTTGTGTGACTGATGATGTGAACGACGGCGTGCGCCAGAAGTGTGATTTGTGGGGGGGGGGGGGGGGGCGTCACAGGATCTGAGCGAGCTGGAAACAGAGGTAACTCGTATCCCGGGTGGGGTGCCGGACCCATCAGGGCTGTAAACACTCTGGATAATCTGGTGTGCAACGCAATGCGAAGAGGACTGTACTGCGTATCGGGGAGCTGATACTCCTTGCCTGCTCAACGCTTCCCAGCCTGCGCCACCAGCAGCGGCAGCTCTGTCTCCTCCACCTGCACCGCTTCTGGCCGCATGCACCCGGGAGCTGATCCGGGGAAACGTCAAGGTCCTGGATGAGGCTGTGACCGTGATCGCAGCTTTCGAAAGAGAAGACGGTTCAGTCAACAGCCAACCCAGGTAACGGCGACCAGTATCCGGATGATCAGTGCTCCAGCGGCTGTACCCCAGGTACAGACCAGGCCGTGTGTTGTGTGTGGCCCGCTGGGCCACATGACAGTAGCCTGCCCCTTGAAAACGGACATTTGTGGCTCGTGTCAGAAGTGTGTGTTGATGTCGAGTATACCGGAGTCACAACGCGCCGAGTCGTGCGCTTACACCGTCTGGCTCGTATGCTGATCAACGGGTTCCTTAGTATAAATTCGCTCTCGTGGGGAGGCGTGACAGCAGCGGCCGACGACGCACGACCATCCAGCGCCGGCCCGGCAGCAGCGCAGCGCGCGCAGCCCACCGCAGACAACCCCCACCCTCACCCCACACACACATACAGCACGCGGCACAGCGCCGTCGGACGCCTCATCCGTCGTACGGACGGACGGGGTAGGTGTAGTCTCGAGCCCTGTACTCTCAAGCGCATTGTGTTGTGCGAAAAGCAAAGTTGCCTGCGTTTCAAGTGTCTTTCCACCTATCACGCCACCGAGGTGGCGTTCTGCCCATGCGGCGCCGTGGTGCGCAAAGCGGACCCAGACAAGACGGTGGCGCGTGCGCTGGCGCGTCACCTGTCACAAAGCACGCGCCACAGTCACCAAACGGCTGCAGACAGGCGCAATGTGCGCACGGCCACCTTCAACACTAGCCACCAATCAGAGGCTAAGGAACTCTCTGTTTCCTTGAAGCTAGACCTGCCCCTGGTCGCAGGGAAGACAAAGATCTTGAGGGTCTCTGCTAACTAAGGGCACGTCGCGCGCTCAGGGGTTGGCGGCGACGTCAGCGAATGCTCAGGACCAGGCCGTCCTACGAGACAGCCTGATCATGTGCCCGGCGCCTGGCTCCTTGTTCCGTCCAGACGGAGACCTTGCTGAGTCCGGAGTATCTGCCAGCGCGATCAGCATGGTAAGAACCTCGCGTACCACGAGCTGGTGCGGGGAAACCGCGGCCGCAGATGTCATGTGCAGTTGACGCGTGAGCCCGAGGCGACCGGTGCCCTGAAAGGCACAACCAGCAAAGAAGAGGCAAAGATGCGGTGTCACGCTTACGAAACGGCCGTCCGTTTTTACGACAAGACTGCTACGGCTGATTCCGCACAAAAGGCACAGCGCGCCATCCAGGAATCCGCAAAAGCTTAGCTCAACCTCAGCTCTAGTAGTGAATCGTCTGAAGAGGAGCATGAGCCGGCCGTCCCCGAAGCGGCAGGCCGGGGTGATGCGGACTGCAGGAGCCCTGGCAGCGCTTCCGGTACGACCACGCCGCCCCCAGCCGAAGTATTGGAGGAGACATGCTCCTCCGAAGTCGC